TTAAGCTGTTCTACCCACGAGGCTCGTGTAGCCTTAACACAATAACCTGTATTACCCACAAGGGTCGTGTAGTTTGAACCCTATAAGCTGTACTATACACGAGGCTCGTGTAGCCTTAACACATTAAGCTGTACTACCCATGAGACTCGTGTAGCTCATGAACACTATAAGCTGTACTACCCACGCGGCTCGTGTAGCCTCAACACATTAAGCTGTATTTCCCACAATGGTCGTGTAGTCAGAACAAATTAAGCTGTACTACCCACAAGGGTTTTTGTAATCAGAACACATTAAGCTGTACTACCAAAAAGGGTCTTGTAGCCTGAACACATTAAGCTGTACTACCCGCAAGGGTCTTGTAGTCAGAACACTATAAGCTGTACTACCCACGAGGCTCGTGTAGCCGCAACACATTAAGCTGTACTACCAGCAATGGTCGTGTAGTCAGAACAAATTAAGCTGTACTACCCACAAGGGTCTTGTAGTCATAACACAGAAAGCTGTGCTACCCATAAGGGTTGTGTAGTGTGATACCTATTAGCTTTACTACCCACAAGGGTCGTGTAGCCTGAACACATTAAGCTGTAATACCCACAAAAGTCGTGTAGCCTGAAGACATTAGGCTGTACTACCCACAAGGGTTTTTGTAATCAGAACACATTAAGCTGTACTCCCCACAAGGGTCTTGTAGCCTGATCACATTAAGCTGTAATACCCACAGGGGTCGTGTAGCCTGAAGACATTAGGCTGTACTCCCCACAAGGGTCTTGTAGCCTGAACACATTAAGCTGTAATACCCACAAGGGTCGTGTAGCCTGAAGACATTAAGCTGTACTCCCCACAAGGGTCTTGTAGCCTGAACACATTAAGCTGTAATACCCACAGGGGTCGTGTAGCCTGAAGACATTAGGCTGTACTCCCCACAAGGGTTTTTGTAATCAGAACAAATTAAGTTGTACTACCGACAAGGGTCTTGTAGTCAGAACACAGAAAGCTCTGCTACCCACAAGGGTTGTGTAGTCAGAACAAATTAAACTGTACTACCCACAAGGGTCGTGTAGTCAGAATACATTAAGCTGTACTACCCACGAGGCTCATGTAGCCCTAACACATTAAGCTGTACTAAACACAAGGCTCGTGTAGCCTGAACACATCAAGCTGTACTGCCCACAAGGGTCTTGTAGTCTTAACACATTAAGCTGTACTACCCACAAGGGTCTTGTAGTAAGAACACTATAAGCTGTACTACCCACGAGGGCCTTGTAGTCAAAACACTTTAAGCTGTACGACCAACAAGGGTCTTGTAGTCAGAACACAGAAAGCTGTACTACCCACAAGGGTTGTGTAGTGTGAACCCTCTTAGCTGTACTACCTACAAGGGTCTTTTTGTCAGAACACATAAAGCTGTCATACCCACAAGGGTCGTGTAGCCTGAATACATTAAACTGTAGTACCCACAAGGGCCTTGTAGTCAGAACATTTTAAAATTTACTGCCCACGAGGGTCGTGTAGTGTGAACCCTATAAACTGTACTACCTAGACTGGTCGTGTAGTCAGAGCAAATTCAACTGTACTACCCACAAGACTCGTGTAGTCAGAACACTATAAGCTGTATTACCCACGCGGCTCGTGTAGCCTAAACACATTAAGCTGTATTTCCCACAATGGTCGTGTAGTCAGAACAAATTAAGCTGTACTACCCACAAGGGTTTTTGTAATCAGAACACATTAAGCTGTACTACCAAAAAGGGTCTTGTAGCCTGAACACATTAAGCTGTACTACCCGCAAGGGTCTTGTAGTCAGAACACTATAAGCTGTACTACCCACGAGGCTCGTGTAGCCGCAACACATTAAGCTGTACTACCAGCAATGGTCGTGTAGTCAGAACAAATTAAGCTGTACTACCCACAAGGGTCTTGTAGTCATAACACAGAAAGCTGTGCTACCCATAAGGGTTGTGTAGTGTGATACCTATTAGCTTTACTACCCACAAGGGTCGTGTAGCCTGAACACATTAAGCTGTAATACCCACAAGGGTCGTGTAGCCTGAAGACATTAGGCTGTACTACCCACAAGGGTTTTTGTAATCAGAACACATTAAGCTGTACTCCCCACAAGGGTCTTGTAGCCTGATCACATTAAGCTGTAATACCCACAGGGGTCGTGTAGCCTGAAGACATTAGGCTGTACTCCCCACAAGGGTCTTGTAGCCTGAACACATTAAGCTGTTATACCCACAGGGGTCGTATAGCCTGAACACATTAAGCTGTACTCCCCACAAGGGTCTTGTAGCCTGAACACATTAAGCTGTAATACCCACAGGGGTCGTGTAGCCTGAAGACATTAGGCTGTACTCCCCACAAGGGTTTTTGTAATCAGAACAAATCAAGCTGTACTACCGACAAGGGTCTTGTAGTCAGAACACAGAAAGCTCTGCTACCCACAAGGGTTGTGTAGTCAGAACAAATTAAACTGTACTACCCACAAGGGTCGTGTAGTCAGAATACATTAAGCTGTACTAAACACAAGGCTCGTGTAGCCTGAACACATCAAGCTGTACTTCCCACAAGGGTCTTGTAGTAAGAACACTATAAGCTGTACTACCCACGAGGCTCGTGTAGCCTGAACACATTACTCTGTACTACCCATAATGGTCGTGTAGTGTGATACCTATTAGCTGTACTACCCACAAGGGTTGTGTAGTGTGAACCATATAAGCTGCACTATACACGAGGCTCGTGTAGCCTTAACACATTAAGCTGTACTACCCATGAGACTCGTGTAGCTCATGAACACATTAAGCTGTAATACCCACAAGGGTCTTGTAGTAAGAACACTATAAGCTGTACTACCCACGAGGCTCGTGTAGCCTGAACACATTACTCTGTACTACCCACAATGGTCGTGTAGTGTGATACCTATTAGCTGTACTACCCACAAGGGTTGTGTATTTTGAACCATATACGCTGTATTACCCACAAGGGTCGTGTAGTCAGAACGCATTAAGCTGTTCTACCCACGAGGCTCGTGTAGCCTTAACACAATAACCTGTATTACCCACAAGGGTCGTGTAGTTTGAACCCTATAAGCTGTACTATACACGAGGCTCGTGTAGCCTTAACACATTAAGCTGTACTACCCATGAGACTCGTGTAGCTCATGAACACATTAAGCTGTAATACCCACAGGGGTCGTGTAGCCTGAAGACATTAGGCTGTACTCCCCACAAGGGTTTTTGTAATCAGAACAAATTAAGCTGTACTACCGACAAGGGTCTTGTAGTCAGAACACAGAAAGCTCTGCTACCCACAAGGGTTGTGTAGTCAGAACAAATTAAACTGTACTACCCTAAAGGGCCGTGTAGTCAGAATACATTAAGCTGTACTACCCACGAGGCTCATGTAGCCCTAACACATTAAGCTGTACTAAACACAAGGCTCGTGTAGCCTGAACACATCAAGCTGTACTGCCCACAAGGGTCTTGTAGTAAGAACACTATAAGCTGTACTACCCACGAGGCTCGTGTAGCCTGAACACATTACTCTGTACTACCCATAATGGTCGTGTAGTGTGATACCTATTAGCTGTACTACCCACAAGGGTTGTGTAGTGTGAACCATATAAGCTGCACTATACACGAGGCTCGTGTAGCCTTAACACATTAAGCTGTACTACCCATGAGACTCGTGTAGCTCATGAACACATTAAGCTGTAATACCCACAAGGGTCTTGTAGTAAGAACACTATAAGCTGTACTACCCACGAGGCTCGTGTAGCCTGAACACATTACTCTGTACTACCCACAATGGTCGTGTAGTGTGATACCTATTAGCTGTACTACCCACAAGGGTTGTGTATTTTGAACCATATACGCTGTATTACCCACAAGGGTCGTGTAGTCAGAACGCATTAAGCTGTTCTACCCACGAGGCTCGTGTAGCCTTAACACAATAACCTGTATTACCCACAAGGGTCGTGTAGTTTGAACCCTATAAGCTGTACTATACACGAGGCTCGTGTAGCCTTAACACATTAAGCTGTACTACCCATGAGACTCGTGTAGCTCATGAACACATTAAGCTGTAATACCCACAGGGGTCGTGTAGCCTGAAGACATTAGGCTGTACTCCCCACAAGGGTTTTTGTAATCAGAACAAATTAAGCTGTACTACCGACAAGGGTCTTGTAGTCAGAACACAGAAAGCTCTGCTACCCACAAGGGTTGTGTAGTCAGAACAAATTAAACTGTACTACCCTAAAGGGCCGTGTAGTCAGAATACATTAAGCTGTACTACCCACGAGGCTCATGTAGCCCTAACACATTAAGCTGTACTAAACACAAGGCTCGTGTAGCCTGAACACATCAAGCTGTACTGCCCACAAGGGTCTTGTAGTCTTAACACATTAAGCTGTACTACCCACAAGGGTCTTGTAGTAAGAACACTATAAGCTGTACTACCCACGAGGCTCGTGTAGCCTTAACACATTAAGCTGTACTACCCATGAGACTCGTGTAGCTCATGAACACATTAAGCTGTAATACCCACAGGGGTCGTGTAGCCTGAAGACATTAGGCTGTACTCCCCACAAGGGTTTTTGTAATCAGAACAAATTAAGAGATCGAAAAGTAAAATGTACCTATACGAGCAAGAAACACTCGTTACCTTGATTCATGGAAGGGGGGCAGATACCAGGTAGGTTTGTGGACTGTACATAACATGCAAAGATACTCACATGTCAATGTCTATGGGTTTTTGTCACCTGAATTCGAGATACTTTGTGAGGTAGAACAGGAAAACGTTAGCGTTATATCACGACGACAACACTTTAGACTCTTTGAATTGATTTCGCCATGAAAAAAACCCCAGTTGAATAAAACGACATTACGATCGCATGTAGAATATACATTTTCACAGTTGCTACTACTTTGCAGAAATACATTGTAAAACAATTCAAAGTATTTGAGTGCTATGACTGTTAATAACAATCTTTGTTGCAGTTCAAATGGAATTGGCAAACCTGAAGAAGCGTTACACAGCCATGAAAAGAGTAAGTATACATAGATGCTTTGAATAAGTACAATATGTGACTGGGAGTCTTACATCGGCTTATATAAGCATATCTTGTAACATGTAACGATTATAGACTTAAAGAAATTACCGTGAGGCTTTGCTTTACCACTTGACTGACATGGACCACAAAAAACTTCATGACTTCGTTGATGACTGTCTTACACGTGGTTAGTTATCTACATCAGCTTGTATGTGTATGTAGTGTATGAGCGTGTATTAATAAAATCAGTGAGAAGAATAATGAATTAATTGTATGTTTCAGGAGGTGGACAGCATTAAAGGACAAATAGATGCATTGGAAAATGGTGAGTTCATAACACGCAAGAATAATATATATATTGCATGTTCTCATATTGATCAGTTATTAAGATATTTCGGGAATATTCAGCAAATATTCCACATGTTCCACTAAATAAGGGTATCCTCAACGTCCTCAACGGTTCAAGGCTGAGATGTTTGTAAACATGTGTATCAGTTCTTGTGTGAAATGTATCACAGTTTGTTCACAAGATGCACCAACAGTGTCTTAATTTAAGACCCCTTTGACAGTAATGTTTTTTTGTTGTTGTTTTGACCGAGGTAAGGCAGAAATATGACAACCTGCTGCCTGTAGGATATTTAAACATGTTGATTGTAGCATGCTTTTGCTTTCTGGGGTTTACTTGTGTCTTTACGTTTCATGTCTTTCCAGATCACTGGCAAAGACAAATAAACTTCCTTTTTGAAGAAATGGACGTGTTGCGGCTTTTTTCTGTAAAATCAAAGCGCCCCATGACTGTGAGTGACACCGAATAGTTATATAATAGTAACGTAATGTATAACATTTTGAGGGTGAAGACTCAATTCGTCATCAACCTCGACATTTAATAATGGTATAGCCATTCAAAACACACCCCAGCTAACATTGCATACTTAGACCAATAGCAGCCCGATTACAACAGTGAGTCCGCCCCATCCACTGCTTACTACTGGTTTGCACATTGACTTGGAAGTACATTTTAGGTACCGGCTCCATGGTCCAATACTGGTCCTTTTCACGCCTGATATCGTTTAGCTGACACGGCATTACTTGCGTGATGACAGCATTCCTGATTACTAATGTGCACACTGACTTCAGTAGGTGCCAGTACAATACTGTACCTTTTCAGGCCGATAACATTCAGCCTGTTTTTGCCCTTTATTTGCACCGTTAAGAATTATCAGTGTTTCTTTAGTCAACCGCTACTGGTTTTATGATAGTCTCAAGTACTTTTCTTAAAAATGGCAATATGATATATATACATCAAAAATATATCATTGTAAGGCAAGTCTTCCTTTTGCTCAAACACCACAGGTGAGATGATGACAGTAACAAAATGTCACACTCTCAGATATAGTCATGTTAGAATATTCGCTGCTCAATCGCTGCTCAAAAAGTAATCCTCAGGAACTTTGCCCTGCTAGATTTAAATATACTTAAACTAGCATAATCAAACATTTGTTTAAATAATTATATTACTTGTGTACAACAGTGTCTCGCTAACAGACAACATCCTCCGAAAAGAATCTCGCAAAATGCATTAACACACGGCAGAGATTATTTGGCTTGTAACAACAAGCTAAGGATGGTCCTGTTGCAGAGATCTGGCTTTTGGAAATCACCGAATCAATGAACTATCTATAGTGATAGTTATCCCTACCGTTGCTAGTGTCGCTTAACCGACAATATCCCGTTGTTGCCAAGAAAGCATCTGGCATGTAATGGTCAAATAGCATGTGGTATTCGGGGCCGGTACAAGTAAATCAGTATCGACACATTGCCATATAAGCTGCATATGTTTCAGAACAGTTATAGCTGTTGTTATGTCGCCAGTGTTCGCTGTTTAAAGATAGCTTTGCCCCAAAATACACCTTCATCGCGTTCATTGGAATGGTCAATCATTTCACTGACATTGGTATAAACATCCATTGATAGTTATAAGTACACTTCGACATTTGATGAGAAATAGTCTATTATACACGTGTGAATTTGGCCATGTGATTCTGAAGTGCAATGGTGAGGGCTTTGCGTCACTATCAGTTTTGTTGTATTCATTTATTTTTGTTTGTCAATATTGTAGGAACTTGATCGAAAGGAAAAGGCACTTCGACATCTTCCAGTTGACGACCTTTCACCAGGTGAGAATGAGGAGGTTAAACACATAGTGAAGCAATATGAACTAGTGTGTCATTCATGGTGAGATACCAAGGTGTAAGAAGTATATGCTGTGCCTGGCTGCGTTGTTCTTTAAGCTTGCTTACCATAAGAAATATCCTTCATTCATCCTTTGGAAAACTGTTCTCACAAGTAAACGGGTGTCTTCTGTTACAGTGTGTGGGGGTCGGGACCTCCTGGCGATTAGGATGAAACCTCAACTCATGGAGTTTAAACAGAGAATACATGGACAGAAAGATGTTCTGTGCAGCATAAAAGAGGTGAGAATATGAGACAGGGGCAAACACGAAAAATATATATCTGGTAAGAAGCAAGATAAAACAAAACAACATACAACTATGTATTCATGACTGTATGCGACTTATATTGTTCTTGTTTCTCTAGTTTCTAGTTGAAGACAAGATCCTCATTGGGTATTTCCAGGCTACAAAAGGTAAGTACAAAGAATGCCCATGAAAAGATCATTCATGCTTATAGTCACAACTTCAACTCTAGACATTAGACGTAATTTTAGCATCAGGTAATTAGCTGACCTATTAGAAGTCAACGCTTCGTTTATATGTTATGCACTATGACGTCATCTTCGTGTATGGTTTGCCAGGAACTTTGCAAACGTTATTGAATCAAACTGAAGTCGTCGCGTCGAGCAAAGTTAAGCGAATGACAGAACAGGAAAGCAGTTATAATAATATACGAAATCTATACTTCTCATACATCTTTGCCATAAATCCTTTCGGCTTCAGTCACACTAGCTAAAATTTTCAGATTTTCAACAGACGTCCTCTTCACTGTCAATCACACACAAATAGCATCGTAACCATCCAATCTATGACGTATGCAGTCGCGGGAACCTCACTTTTTTCCTGTGTGTGCTTGAGTCAACACCTATTGTAATAGTGTAACAATCTAGCACTTGGTTGTAAGTCACATTAATCTAAGATTATTATAGCGTTCCGTCTGTCCGTCCCTCCGTCCGTCCGTCCGTCCTTCCGACCGAGCTTTTGTACGGCCCATTTTAACCATGCACCCTAGCTTAACTAAGCTTTCTACACACATTAACCACAATGAGTACTTGTGCCTTTTCCTAGTTTGAAGATTCCGATTTTTAAATTTTGTTGCCGTTTCCATGGAAACATTAGAAATTTAAACGTTTAGGGTGGGTGTTTTGCTAGTTTGAAGATTCTGATTTTAAATTTTTTTGCCGTTTCCATGGAATCATGGTGAAACATAAATTTTGGTTGACCAGCGGGGTCACGCACGTGAGTATTAACTGGTGTGATTGTGAGGTCGTAATGAAGTCTCCTCTACTCCTGGTTGCAAGAAGTGTGGTTGATTCATGATCACGGGAGATTCTCATGTTAACTGCATGAAGTGCTGAGAAACAACTGCCTCGATTCTCAGCCCTAAACGAAGAAATGGGGAATATGGAGACTAATCATATACCTCTGGCTAAGAAAAGTCCCCCGGTCAAGTGCCATCTGTCTCTACAGCACACACGGGTGAAGGGCCTACCCCAGCCGACCGTACCGATCAACCATCCATCCTGACAGCCAGACTGCCAGCTGTTCAGCCAACTGATAAGCCGTACGGCTCACAGAAACAAACTGCACTTCAAGAAACATCCTATCTTTAAGACTCAAGCCGTCGGACGCAGATTTCATCCAGTCGGAGCCAAGCTAGTGGCAGCAGATCTGGCCGTCAGGAAGCTCTAATTGACCTAAAGATCCTCAACAAGAAATTCCTCGTACCCCCGCAAAGACTCCAGATGGAATCCAGGAGATAGGAGACTGGTTTATCAGCCTTGATTTAAAAGATGTCTGTCTTCACTTCGCGATACACCAATCGTCACGCAAATATCTATGCTTCGTGATCAATGGTCAACGTAAAGAGTTCCAGGTCTTGTCATTCAGGATATCAATAGCCCCTTGCCTTACAGAGCCAGTCATCAGGTTTGCCACCTCAAGCTTGTTTGAATCCATGGATACCTGGACGATTTCCTGGCTGCAGACCAAAAGGAAGCTCAGTTACACCAGGACATGATATTCTTGGTCCAACTTATGACCTACCTCGGCTTCCTAGTCAATTCTTCCAAGTCCGAGACCACGTCGGTTCAAGACATCATATACATCGGAGCGAGATTCCAACTAAACAAGGGATATCTATGCCCATCAGAGAATCGATTCGTCAAGACTATCACAATGGTTCTATCACATTCAAGTCATGACAGCACAGCATTGGTGATTCACATAGAGCATGTGATGAGCTTTTGACTTCTCTGACACCCGAACACCATCTTTTCACAAACGCATCAGATTCAGGATGGGGAGCCAATAGGGAGGATCTCACGGTACAGGGATCTTGGAACATCGGAGAGAAGGATCTTCATATCAACTGAAAGGAAATGAAGGCCATCTATTACGCCATCCTGGAATGGAAGATACATTTCTCACAATCGTCCATCCTCATAGCCATGGACAGTAGTGGCTTACACCCAGAAACGATTCCGGGGTAGAATAGGTCTTCAGCAACCCATGCTTGCAGTAAAAGGTGACTATGCTTGTCGTAAAAAGGCGACTAACGGGATCGGGTGGTCAGGCTCTCTGACTTGGTTGATACATGTCATCGATTCCAATTGCGTGGATCGATGCTCATGATATCAATCACTGGATTGTCTGGTCCAGACTCGATTATTTACAGACCGCCGTCATATAGCTGGAATATTGCTGAGTGCGGCGTTAAACAACAAACCAAACAACAAACCAACATCCAGAAACAAGCAGGAACCAGATTCAGCTCCCTGATGACGGAGACTACACGATTGTTTGTCTCAGCAGATTCCTTCATTTGCTGGATGGAAAGAGACATATACCTTGAAACTGAACATCCCTGCCGACAGCCTTTCTGCCAGGGGAAAATAGTAGCAACAGAATAGGGTTTACATCCCCAGATCTTTGCTTAGATAACCACGTTATGGGACACACCACACCTAGATATACTTGCCACCTGTCAGAACCATCAACTTATGTCAGTCCAGTTCCCGACCCAAGAGCTCACCAGATTGACGCACTATCGATGGACTGGACGGGTTCATTTGCATACGCATTCCCACAATGGTCTCTCCTAGACAACGGCATCCACAAGGTGGAGGAGACGGATCGCATAATAATCCTGATAGCACCAATATGGCCAAGCAGAGCGTGGTTCCCCAGATTACTAAGACTACTAATGGAACCTATCCAGTTACCTCTCCATCGAGATCTGTTACGACAACCCAAGTCCAGCATTTTCCATGACATCTATAAAAACAATACCTACATCTAACTGCTTGGAAATTATCACGCAGCAAATGCAGTCATCCGGATATTCTGAGCTTGCCTCAGAAGCTGTGGTAAGATAATGGAGACCTTCATCATCCCTTATAAATAACAACTGATGGTACAGTGGAGAGGACGACAAGGGATCATCAATCTTTATTTCACGTACTGAAGAGGCCACATGCCTATAGTACAATTTGAAGAATATACAATTTTATACAATTTATGTACATATCTCACCAAATCACCAAATCACCAAATCTCAACACAGTGGCATAATTTCACACATACAGTACAATACCATACCCTGTAATTTCATAATTTCTATTTTACCATATCACAACTTGTTATATCATACAACATATTCTATAACATTATATCATATTGTATCATTATTATAAGATCATACTATATAGTATTATTTCATATACCATTATCATACCATAACATACCATACATACATGTACCATCGTACCATATATCATATATCACACCTATATTATATCACATTTCAGCATGTAATATCACACAACACATTAGCAATTTCATAGCTTGTCCCATCATATCTTATCATATCATACCATATGATGCCATGTCATTCCATGCTAATTTATATCATATGAATCAATCAATATTTATTCAACACTGGAAGACCGCAAGCCATATAATATGTACACTAAAAACAGTATTTACACAATTTCTTTAATAAACATAACATATTGCATCATATCCCCTCATGTATCATATCACACCACAACACTTATCATATAATATCACATCATGTCATGTCACATCATGTCATTTCATATACATATAACTATACTAAACAATTTGTAATATCACGTCCCACAATATCATATGACAGCCTAATAGTTTAATACCATTTCTAACTCTTTTGTTTGTAGTTTTTTCAGATGACCAATATCTATAAATATGTACTTAATGTATATACACAATAGTTTCCTAATAACAAGCAGCTAAGATTATTCTTTCATAAGGTTCTGTCGGTATAAAGAGGCATAATATATGTACATGGAAACATTTTGTAAGATACTTCTTTTTGTGTTTGACAGCAGTGTAACAAATTTAATAATATTAGGGTACCTGTAATAATAAGCTTGCAGGTATTTTTCTCTAAGGTGTAAATACACTGGACATACAAGTAAGAAATATCATTTATCTTCTACTGAGTTTAAACTACATGGATTACAGATTCTTTCTTCACGGGGAATGTTAACATAGCACCCTGTTTCTATTAAAAGGTCGTGAGAAGAACATCTAAAACGTGAAAGAGCCGTTCGAAATTTTTTAACATTAACTTTTGATAAATAATCTTCCATAATTATTTCTGATTTAAACATTTTGTAATAAGAGCACTTGTTTGTTAGAGTCAATGATGCAGTCCAAGATTGTAAATAAATATCCTTTAATCTCTGGGTTAATGAAAGTATAAACATTGATTTGGAATACACATTTTGGTTTTGCCAAATATCACCAAAGCTACAACTGAAAAGTAATTCTCTAACACCTGTAACCAGTTCTTTTCCCATTATTATCATAAACTGTCATCATATTATAACACTTTTTTGGCAATCTATATGAGGGCATGTCAATCAGTCTCAGCCAGCATTTAATAACTTTTATATTTGAATATACATAGAGAGGGAATCTTCCACATTCTCCATACACCACCAAGCTGGTAGTGTTTATTTTAACGCCTAAATACTTTTGGAAGCATATAAATGAATCTTTTCTATGGCATCAAAGTGATGTAAACCCCAGACTTCTGCCCCATACAACTAAATGGGGAGTATATTTATATCAAATGTTTAAAAAAATGATTGATGAGAAATGGTTTCGAAAACTTTTAAACTCTTATGGATACTTACAAAGACCTTTCTTGCTTGTAAAGCAGCTTGATACAAATGTTTATGCCATCACAAGTTTCTACTGAAGTAAACACCAAGATATTTATAAAATCCTGTAGTTTCAATTTTTTGTCCTTTAAATGACCAATATTCTTTACTTGCTGAATGACCTCCATTCTTAAATACCAAAACTTTTGTTTTACTCATGTTTACTGTTAGCTTCCATTTATTGCAGTAACTTTCAAGTTCAT